CCCTCTTACAGTTTCTTTTAGCCCTTATTGTCAATTAAATCTCGAGCATTTAATGCAATTTTGGCACCACATTTATGAAACCTTAAATTTTTTTTGTAATTAATTTCGGACAAATCTTATGCATTTATTCTTGGATCATGCAAACCTTTTTTTCACCCTAATTTAATTATTGGATAATTTAATCTACAGATTTTTTTGCGTGGATTCGTTTGTTAAGTAATAAATTAATCTATATTAGATTCAAAATTTTTAAAAAAAAATGCTAAGAGTTGAGAGAAGAGATTGGTGGATAATTTTACTTAAAATAAACAAGGATATTTTGGTAATTTTACAAAGACAAAAAGTGGAAAGGGGTCACAAATTAGAACAGTAGGGTCACAAATTAGGTTTTTTTAAAAAGGGGTCAAAAATCCAGATGAGTTATATAAAGGGGTTAGAAACCCCAATTTCCCAAATTTCAGAATCCCAAACCCTCAGCCTCTATTTTTTTTAATAACGATATTCCCCTCCTTTATCTCTATGATTTGTTATCCTTCAGCCTTACATATATAACAAAATCTCTCTTCGTCTTCTTTTTGCCATAATCTTCTTATTCTGATGGTGTGTCCTATTGTTGACTCTGGTGAAAGATCGATAAATGTATATTGATCTTAAAATAAATCACTTATTACAAATTCTCTCTTATTCGTTGAGAAATCTCTTGAAAATATATTTTATTATTAAACTTATTTGTCACATCCGAACTATGTGTTTCTAATTCTATTGTCCATCGTTATTGTTATATATTTTTTTGAACTTTAGATATTTCTAAATTTAGCCATAAAATAGAGAGCACAATAAAAATATAGGAATCTCAAGTTATGACTGAAAAATGGACATTACAAATATAGAATTTATTTTATGAAGGATGGATAAAAAAACTACAAGAAGTGAAAACGCCACCGTTGGAAGGAACAGAACACTCCAACCCACAAACAACCCAATCAATCACCCACACGGAGAAAAACCTTCCACCGCTTAAAAATCATAAAACAAAAGTAGAAAAATCACAAAGTAGAAAAATCAGAACACCAACTGGACAAACACACCCACATCATGTGGAAACTCCAATCAAAGAAACAAATCTAAATTCGGGAAATAGAAGAGCAACTTTGACCGCAGATACAGCGGCGTGTATCGACAAAAGTGAATGAAGAGGAGCAACTTCGTGAACATGATGATGTGGGTGGCGGAGACAGCGGCAACGTGCAAATCTGGAGGCAAAGTCTGGAGGCGGCCATGTGGCATGCAGATCTGGAGCAAGGATAGAAGGGGCGACCACGCTGTCTTCACAAGGGCTTTTGCTTTTGTTTGGCTTTTCACGAGAAGATGAAAAATGAGGAATAGAAATTGGTGACGCTAATAAATTTTGACGCGCAAACGTTGAAAAATTTTGCCGCTGGTGTTTTTACATTTTCCCTACGCTCTTTTATTTACCTTTCATAGCCTAAATTTAAAAATGCTATATTAAAAAGGTATATTTCTTGTAGTGTATGGGTTATTGTTTTCTATACAATTTTACTCTACTTCTTGTGGCGTTATAATTATTAATTAATATATTGTTTGCTTGTATCCATGAAATCATACGAGAATATTTGTGAGTAGTCTTTTATTTGTCAAGTATAGAGTTTTGTTGTGGTTTGATGTGATTGGCACAACGCTTGTTTTGAAGCATGTGTTGTTGGGTTTATAATATGTTGTAGTTTTGTGAGTTGAATGTTGCATGGGTCATAGCTTCAAAGCATGTTGTAAGACTTATGTGTGAGAGTTGTACTTATTATGAGAAGAATGGGTGAGTATCAAGGCCAAAAGGTTGATACGTCACTATTTAGGTATTAAGGCCTTGGGTAAATGGTCGGGGACTGATATGTTAACTTTAGACAAAGATGAGTGTCGAGGCTTTGAGTAAATGGTCGAGGGTCGATGCGATGAGTCTTAGTGGAAGACAAGTATTGAGGCCTTGGGAAGAAATGATAAGGGCCAATATGTTGCAAAGTCATCGAGGTCTTCACTTTGAGTGGTTAACGGTCAATGCAACAATTCAGGCCTTGGGGAAATGGTCAAGGATCGAACGCCAAGCATCTTGGAGAAGTGTCAAGGCCCTAGGTAGAGGGTTAGGGATTGGTACAACTCGAAGAAGTACGTCTTGGAGGAACTTGCTCCCACGGGTCGAAAAGATTGAGAAAAATCAACCTAGCACAACCCCGTCTAATAATCAAAGGGGAAAATTCCTCGAAAAGTTAAGGATTCCACTTTTTCGATAGGAAAGAGAATTGTAGTGAGATTTGTGTCATGAGACTTGGGTTTGGCATATAGTTTGAAAGTTAGCCAAGCATATATAAATTGATCTATTTTATTTAAAGCATGATATTCTAATTAGCATAATGATTGAATTTTGTGGAAAGCATGTTGTTTGCGTGACCTTTCAAGTGAGGGCTACTTACTGATTATGAGTGGTTGTACTCACCTCACTCTTTTACGTTCCAAATTTTGCAGATAACAAACTCATGAGGATGGTGATGGAGTGGAGAAGGTTTGATTGGAAGGACAATTTCGCTGGGCAGCTTATTATTGTTTTGGTTAGGATAGTTGCAGTTTTTTTGCTCTTGGGTTCGTCCCTTGCTTTAGTAGGTTAGTTTTGTTTATCTAGATGATAAGATTGTGTTTAATACTTGGTAGTTGATGATAGTTATTTCTTTGCTTAAGCTGAAAGTTACTTTTAGTTTGTTGATTCCTTATTCTTTTGAGAGTTCAAGTTTTGTTTAGTTGTTGATTGGTGAAGTTGAGACTTTTTAAAGATAATAAAGTTTGTTTACTTGACGTTTCTCATGTAAAAAGTATTTCTGTTTTCTTGATTGAGTTGAGTCTTATAGGTCATTTAAGTAACGCGCCCTATTTGAGATGTTGAAATTTTGGGGGCGTTACAATGCAATGTATTTAGCATGTTGTCTATATATAAAAGAAGGTATATAGATGGTTTGTCTTTAGTGTGGCTAAAATAAACACAATGATCTAACATGATTGTAGTAAAACCACGTGATAAAATAAAGAAATCAAACTCTAAGTATCATTGCTTAGGAGCTTGTTTCAATACATACAAAACCTGGTTTTCTGTTCCTTCTTTAACAAAACCCATTGGTTATTGAATGTAGATCACTTCATATAAATCCCCATATACAAACATTGTTTTCACATCTAGTTGCTCCAACTCCTAGTCATAAGTAGTGACCAACGATGAGAGAGTTCTAATGGAGGAGTGTCCAACTACTAGATAACAAAACTCTTCATAATTTACTCCTTCATTTTGAGTGAATTCCTTTGCTACAAGCCCAGCTTTATCGTTAATTGGTTTTAGCGGATCGACATCATGTTTTAAATTATATATCCATTTACATCCAACTAATTTTTATTAAGGGAATTTCTACCAATCCCCTTGTGCCATTTTTAAGAAGATAATTCC